TATATATATATATATATATATATATATATATATATTATATATATACACCGGCTACAAACAAAATTAGAGGAGAGGTAAAATACATGTGGTAAGGATTAAAAAGTAAATAGCAAAACTCCGTAGCCAGAAATGTCATCATATCACTAACGGACCTAGCCCGCATGAATTTATTGTTTGTGTGTCTTTGAATTGATGCTTTTCTAAACAAAATTATTAAGAATACGAGAAATCATTAAATGCTGCACATAGTTGAAATCTTTGGCATATTACCTAGTTACATCAGTTCATCATAATGCTCTGGAATACTGTTTTATTCCTATGAATGATGATTTCTTTGTAAACGTCAATAGCTACTGACCAACTCTTCATATCGCTGGGAAATTCTATCGTAAGCAAAATTTGTTGTCGCATGTTTGTCGCATGTCGCATTTGTTCCTAACTGTCGATTTGGAAGATTTGTTTTAATAACATTTACATGACTTAATTAATAATATTTGTAATTTGTCTCAATTTTTTTCTTATTTATCGTCTCCAGGCAACATTCTTTGCATTCTTGTACATTTTGATTCATAAACAATTTTATACAAAAGTTCATCAAATGTTACATAATACTTTAATATTACAGAATTACTTTACTCTTGAAAGTGCATTTTATCCCTAATTGCCCACTCGGCCACTGTGTTTTTTTCTTGTTCTGTTCTTTATCCCTTTTTCTCTTTCGGGCACTGTGGTTTTTTTAATAGTTTTGTACTCATCTTTAGTTTTCCATTTTTTGTTTGAAACTTGGCACGTTATTATTCAAAACATTTCTGTTTCTTCTCATTAACATGCGGCAAGTCCTGAAAATAAGCCCCTATTTTTTGAGCTCTTGATATACGCCGATTGTCATTTGATGCTTTTATATTTTTGAAGAGAATGGAGTTTTTCTAACAAGTTAAAAAAATATTACGAAATCAATATTGTTAAAACTATTTCTAAAGATAACAAATGGTTAGTAAAGATAAATATGTCACTTTAATGCAAGCTATAAATGAATTACTGTAACATATCAACTTTCAATTACGCTTCCATTTGTACTAGACTCTAAATTAATCTCAATTGAATTCCATAAATACATTCCGTAATATCCTGTGTGCCCAATGTTGTTTCTGGGAATTTAATATAAATTGTAAATAATCCGGAAAATGATCTTCAGGGAGCAATTACATTGCGAATTTTAAGTCTTGTTAATGGATAAGTAAAGCTTCATAAATTAGTTTACACTGCACAAGCATAATAATTTAATAATTCGTGAGTGACATTATTTGATGAACAAGGTATGTATACATTAAAATATTTAGTGTATTATTTATTCATTCTGTATTAATTATTTCATTTTCTCAATCAAAATGCTTATTAATTAAGATTTGCAGAATTGGATTCATTTTAAAGTGATTATTTCTGTTTACTTTTATTCAGGGCTCGAAAAACCGCCTGTCCGCCCGTCCTTGGTAGTCAGAAATTCCCCGCGGACAACGAATCCGACGTCCGTGCGGATGGCCGTTTTCCCATTAATGTTCGTGATACATTTTCACTTTTTGTTATCTTACAAGAGTCTAGCGCCTCCCTTCTAAAATGACCCTCTAAAGTGACCTTCTTTTATTACTGTATAATATAATCCTAGCATTTGTAATCCTAGTAACTACTTACTCATTGTGCAATTTATATAAATGTTTGTAATAAATAAGAGAAAATTATATTTTTATTCATTTCGAAGCTACGGGTTGGTATCAAAAGAGGACGGGTACATTGTTGGACAAGCTGTCCTCGGGGACGGGTAAAATTTCTGAGCTTTTTCAAGCCCTGCGTTTATTATTTATATTAATTTTTTATCAATATTAGTTTTTATTTCTATAAATTTAAGAAAAAAATACTTTATTATTGCTTATAAATTCTGATAAAATAATTATTTATCTATAATTTATGCTACGAATCATTATTTTATTTTTTATTACCAAATTAATATTATTAATTGCAGTAACATATTATAAATCACGTGGCAAAACGTATTTGAGTTTTGTATCTTTAAACTTGATGCGTAATAAGCAATTTCAAAGCCTAATTCCTATTTAAAGCGAACTTAAAATAGATGGACAATAAAAATGTTTAGGACATAATATGTATAAATTCAAAAATACGAAACAGAAATTGAAAAATATGTTCTTTAATACATAGATGTTTGTAACAATTTTCAAATTTGAGAATTTTGTGTACACAAATAATAAATTATTTATTTGTTTAGCTGAGTTTCATTTATGAGTTCATTATGAGTTGTTTAGCTGAGTTTCATTGGTGTATCGACTGTCCTTAATTTATCTTGCAAAATTGCAATTTTAATGCATGCATGTACACTTTCAGGCAGTTCTTAAAATACTCTTATTTTTTAATTTATTTTAACGAAGCAATAATGTTTTAAACTTGAATTGCAAATCTAAGTTTTAAAAATATATAGCAAACATTTAAAGTTAATATTTAAGTCGTGATAATTTGTTTTGTAAAAATGATATGTTTGCATCCACCAAATTCTGATTTGTTGGCATGCATTTTAATAATATAGTCTAATTCTTTTTTACTTTACTGTTAGAAGTGCTTATATTTAAAGCTTTATTATGCTAAAAACAAGTCAAGTTTTAATTTTTTCTTCTTGATATCTAGTAGGTCATAGTGAATGAGAAAAAGAAAAATTAAATTTTTTTTTTCAAAAAGGAACTCAATTTTAATTTTTAATCGAACTTTTCGAAATAAAGAAAAATAAGCAAAATCAAACAACTTTTATTTGCTTTCCGATGATTGTCATAAACTTGATAACAAAATACTAAAGAAAACAAATAAATGACTGATTCGAAAACACTTCAACAATGTTATTTCACAAATATACTAAAAAGCATAACTAATTAAATGGATGAATGGCCAAGATTTAGGCTTGTTTTCATTTCACTAAAAATGATTTAAGGTCTGAGTAGAAAGCTTTTTCCAAGAAATATGTTTTTACATTAAATCTCTTAATATTGTTTCCAGACAGTTGCAATGAAAATCTCACGAATTTCAACTTAATTTCAAGTACACCGAAAAATCTATATGCTGTTCTTAAAGACAACTCTTTGCGGACCAATATGTACTTAAATCCAAGTATTTAATGTCTCTTTAAAAAAAAAGAATTCTTAGGTTAATCGTATAACAATTTTACTTATTAAAAATATGCTTAATTTTCTTCACATACCGAGTTTAAGTCTTCTACTTACCACCAGAGGTACGATTTGGCATGCAGTTTTTCTTGCTTTACTTTTTTCTGTAATTTTTACTAATCTTAACCATTCAAACAAAACAAATCATTAAAATATTTCATTCGATGCCTTAAAAATGTATGTTTGTACGCTTCTTTCTGGTATGTTTTCTCAAATAAAGTATCGTCAATTTAACCAAACAATGTATTTGATTGTGATAAATTTCCACATTACTAAACACCAACAAGAAAAATAAATAGATTTACTGCCCTGAATGGTAATATTTCCGACATTAACATTACAAGTGTTTTAAACTCGTCTCTAACCACGAATTTAACTAATTAAAAACATAAAGAAACTTTTAAAAGTACCATTCTTAACACATTAATGACTAGCCTGAACCTTTTCTATGAACTTACTAGAAATTATCACTTAACGCTTAACGATTTCCTCTTCTGAGACCATTCCATCTCTTTGTTTCGGTCTCTCTATAGTACATTCTCTGTAAAACAACACCCCCTAGAGCAGTACATATTGGATGGCCAACAAATAACAACACTGGCACCATTTTCCAACATTAAAGAGTTTCCACTAATGATGGAAGATAATGAGGTCAACGAAGTATTCTACAGACAATCACCAGCTCCAGAACCCGTAAAACAATAGATGAGTTTAGGAGAAAACAGTAATGAATTCGGGGAGTTCCGAAAGCAGAGACTAACCCGCGTCTTTATCAAAACCAACAGATGGGA